GGCCTAGGGACGGGGCAGTGGGTGTAGAAGTGGCCTATCCTTTCGAACAAACAGCAAACAGCTCGTTCTAAGGGGAGAGGAAGGGAGCGATCTAGACTGGGTGAGGGGGATGGGACATCAGGGAGGCGAGTGTGTTGTGTTACTGTGTCAATAAACTGACTTAAAGCTGTGGTTGGTCTGTTCTTTATTCCTGTATCAGGACCAACTTCTTCCACTTCTGTTGAGTCCAGTGCCTAACGTAACGGTGTGGTGCATGCTCCTCGGGAAGAAAACTGCAGCGTAGCGGGGCAGGTGAACAGGCTGAAGACTCTTGGGCCATGTGCCGCTGTGAAATGCGGGATTGCCAGGAGTCTGGGACGCACTGCCAGACCCTCCTGAGAGAGACACTGCCTCCACCTAGGAAAGAGGCGAGGCCCAGGATCCAAGCTGTCCTTGGATCTTGCTGTTTGTTAGACAGAAGGCTGGGGCCTGAAACTGGGTTGGCTTTTGCACGGAGCTGCCCGACATGCCCACTCCCGAGGTCCCTGTCATTGTGTCCGCTCCACAGTCTGCTGGATAAGCTCTTGGCGGCGCGGGAGGAGGCTGGAGTCCCCTTTACCATGGTTCTTGATTTCTGAAGGGGCTACTAGCATTTTTCCCTTTCTCCCCGTTTTTCCACGCATAGGGCATGTTCTTCCACCTCCCGTAGCTTTCCAACTGTCTGCTGCTGAGCTGCGGCTGTCACGGTGTTCTTCGTGGAGGTTGCTTGTGTTTTTACCCTTGGCCAAGTCACTAACCTTGGACTCCAACTGGCATTCATTAAAATCGATGCACTCCACCTCCCCCCCCCAGGTGTTAGCAGAACAAGTCTGGGACCAGAGGCATTCAGCCAAGATCAGAAGGGTTTGACGATGTCCCCCACTGAGCAGAGAAACCCCTAAAGGCAGCCTGAAGGCAACAGGTGGCTTAGGGTTCAGACACTGAACTCGAGTCAAAGGAATCCACAAGACGGGGATAAAGAACCAAGACACGATTCAGTCCTATCGCTTCTCCAAGACCAGCAGAGTGAGTGGGAAACGTGCGCTTCTGCTGCCACCTGTTGGTGGCTCCTCTCCAATACAGCCAGGGTTGGAGGGGCTGCACTGGAAACACAGGCACCCAGTCAAGATTTCCCCTCCCCAAAAAACTGACGCTTGCAGACCACTGACAGGAAAGAAACCTCAGGCCCGGAGGCTGCACTCCGGTTAAGCGACTTGGAAGTTCGGCTGTTTGGGGGTGGAGCGGGATAGGGAAGATGCGTGAAAGGCAAACTAAGTCTAAATGTAAGAACAGGGACATTAAAAACTTTATTCAATAAATACAACAAATAATTTAAAAATATACTTCAATTCCAAAGCCAATTGAGGAGAGGAGAAAGAGGCCACACAATGGTTTGGGGGGGCTGTGTTTCAGAATGCCCCACCCTCTGAAACTCATCGAATGCTCTTGACCCATGACCCTCAGCCCTTGATCTGATGGGGCCGCCACGGGAGCCCACCAGCCAGGAATGGTCCTCTGGGCCCTGGGTCAGGCTGGGATGTGGAGGGAGTCTCGGGGTAGCTTCCTACTCGTGCTTAAAAACCATCCATCCACCCTAACTCCCAGGCAGGCTTAAATAGTGCAAACACTTAGGCAGAGAGCTCCCAGCTGCATAGTTTCACGGGTGAGTGTCCAAGCCAGGGCCTCCGAGAGGTCCCAGAGTGCCCAGGGGTCCGAAGCCACTTTGGTGAGTGGGATCTCGGGTGAAGAGGGAAGCCAGGTGGAGGATGAAGCCCCTGGGCCAAGCCGGCGGCCAAGCCAGGAAACAGTGCTGGGCAGAGAAGGGCTACAGGGTAAGTAGTCTGGACACTGGATGCAACAGCCTGCCGTGATCCAGGGAAAGTGAAGCAGAGGATGCGAATGGAGCAGGACCGGGAGATTGGAAAGCCGAGGGAGGACAGAAAAGCCGGGAAGAGGAGGAGGCAGCTCGGCAGCAAACTCCAGGAGAAATAACCAGCAGCCCTCACAGATTTGTGATTGTCTCTTAAAAAGATTTATTTTCTCTTCTTGCCTGAATGTACAAAGGCAAAAAGAGTACAGTTTGTATATATATATATATATATATTTATATATATATATAAAAAAAACAAGGAACTTGGTAATGTACACTTTACAGAAGGGAAGAACCGGGAAGACTGAAATGAAATCCAACGGGTCAACGCCAACGGAACAACAGCTATGAACAGCAACACGGCCCCTCCAGCCCGGGCCTCCAGCTTGCCCCAACCGCTCCCAACGGGGGGCTGAGCACCAAGGCAAGCGGGTGGGCTGGGGCAGGAGGGGCTGGGGACAGGGCCGGGGGGGGGAGCTCGATCCCAGGAGAGGCCCGTGGTGGGTGACCGGGAAGCTTCCTGGGATGCCCTTGCAATAAAACAAATGACAAAGGCCCACAGTCACGGGCCAGCTAGCTGCCCAGTTGAATCTTGGGGCATCAGAGTAGACAACGGGGTGGAGACAGGATACGTGGGATAATCAACGCGGGTGGCCCCAAAGCCTGTATACAACAGTTCTCTAGCCCTTCTGCAGTCTTAGCTCCAAACTCCCTAGCTGCGTCCCCCCTCCCAGCCCCTTGGAGCCTGGAGCAAAGAGATTCGAGAAGTTGCCATCTCACGGGGCTGTCCTACCCATCGGCACAGGGTCCCTGGACCGTAAGATGTGTGGAGAGAATGGGGTCCATGTACAGGGCAGGAAGAGAGGGCGGAGGGAGGCGGCACCCCTTGCGCAAGCCCAGAAGAGCAGCTCTCCCAGCCGTGGCCCACCCACCTGGGGAGGGGAAGCCCAGTGAGCGCTGTCCGTGAGGACCCTGGCCGGGGCGGCTCAGAGACAGGCTTGGCCTGGTGGTCTGGGTGCTCGGCAGCAAACACCTCCAGCCTTTGCCGGTGGCAAAGGGAGCCCTCGGCCAGCATCTCCGCCCTCTGACTAGGGCCAGTGCCCCGAGTCTCCTCCCCACGCGGAAAGGCTGGAGGTGGACAGCAAGTCCTTCGCCCTCACCCCCGCTAAGGCTCTCCAGGCTGCTGCTCCACGTGACTTCAGGCAGCGGAGACGACTGGCAAGGCCGGGAGCCACAGTGCCGTGGAGAGGGGAAGGCAGTGCCAGTCGGCCGCTCTCTCGCCTGCTCTTCCAGCAGCCGCTGCTCTTCCAGGGGGACTGGGGGACAAGGTCAAAGAGCCTCGTTTTGAGGGAAAAGGAAAAAAGCTGTTTCCTCCGCAGAACCTGAAGCTGCCCAGCTGACACAGAAGCTCCTCCGCAGTTAGAGAGCAAGGTGGGAAGGGCAGGAGGCAGGGCTGCCCAAGGAGACACAAAATTACTCCGAGCGGCTTCTTTACAATATGTACAGAGTACACCGTAGGCCAGCGCCACAGACACAAGACACACAGCAAGATTTCAAAACAAACAGGAGCCCAGGAGGGCATACTCAGGCTAACGCTCAGTCACTTTCTTGGTAGGGGCGACTCGGGTGGGGCGGGTGAAGGTGTCCACACCAGCTCCTTCCACAGGCAAAGGGGGCCACCGCTCAGCACTGCCCGCAGGGGCAGTCGGAAACAGTGAGAATGAAGGGCATGGGGGAGGCCGCTTGGGGGCCTGCCAAGAGGTCTAAAATCACGCGTTTTTGGGGAGGCTCAGAGCCCAACTTGAACAAAAACCAGGATGTGGAAACCCAGCCGAAAGGTCTGTAGATCAGAGGGGCTCGCCTCGGGCAAATGGCCCTAAGCCTACCTCTGTGTAGGGCTCCGGGGTTCTTGGAAACCAGCCTCTACCGGGCATTGTGCTTGCTGTACCCTCCGGCCTCCCGTTCTCCAGACTGAGTCAGAGCCAAGTTCTAGCTCTCACATCGTCCCTTTTGGCACTCTGGTCACAAACTCCCCTCTCTGGCCTATGCTGATGCCTGTCTTTACCACTCTCCCCATCCCAAGGGTCAAGGAAAGACGGGGGAGGAGAACAAAGGGAGGATGCTACCTCAGAAGCAAGAAAGAGCTAAAGCTCCCCACACACACCTTGGGTGAGAATATCTCCAGTAAAACCACCGAGTCCCCATCACTCCCCCAGGGCCACGAGCAGGAAGCTTCGATGGGAGCGCCTTTCTGAGGACAGGGGAGGGATGTCTGCTGCCTCAAAGCACAGCTACATGAGGACACTCTGTGGCTCTGACAAGTGATGGTGTGGATGCGTTATCCCAGGGCCCAAGGAACACGTGACCTCCCGTGGCCACTGGCCCCTCAAACAAAGATGCGTGTGGAGAGAAACAGCTCGTATTGGCACACACGGAGGTCACAGGTGGAGCTCTACCAAATCGGGTACTTGTAGACAGAGGAGTCAGGCTGTAAATGTCTGGGTCCCTCAATGAGGAATCTGGGTGAACGGGCATCTCCAAGGACTGCCAGGCGCTCCCAGGGCCTGCCTTCTGGGCCTTGCCCTAAGGTGACCTGGCAGACTCCAAGGTGCCCCATGCGGGGCGGGGCACGATTTTACCTGCCTGAGTCTTAGGAGCCAAGCAGGGGAAAAGAAGAGGCGAGAGCAGTGTGGGGATCCCCCCTGGGAAAGGCACCAAGGGGTCAGGGGGGAAGACAAGGCCAGGGGTTGGGGTGTGAAAAGCAGCAGGACTGGGGGATGGGGGTTGGACTTCACAGACTCCATTGGCTCCAGGTCAGCTCACTCCCGGCTCCCTGGGCGCCCCGTGCTGGTGGTGGAGCCCCTGCCCTCTGCCCGACGGGCAGCTCGAGGCCACGGCAAATGCCTTGGTCTTCCTCTCTGGGCTCTGCGCGTTTCTGTGTGCTCACAAAGGGGGGAGTCTCCATGTCTGAAGACCTTGTTTTCACAATTACATCGAAAACAGCCCCCGATTTCTTTCCTGAGATTCTAATTCCTCCACGTGCTGCCACTTCCCAGGGCACAAACCACTAGGGAGATGCAGAATCTGGTGATGGTGGTAATGATGGTGAGAGGGGTATGGCTGCTGTGCTGTCTTCAGACCTTACCCAGTCTTGGGGATCCCTCCCTGGTGGGGGGTGGGTATTCCCCCGGCAGCAGACCAGGGGACCAGGGAACAGAGCAGTGACTTCTCTGGGCTGAGGCCACGTTCCCCTGGTTGCTCCCCGTGCCTTCATCTCCACGGAGGCCGCAGCGGTCACGACTGTGGCCGAGAGAATAAATATTTTGCTAAGTACCAGCTCTCCAGCTCCTGAGGAAGAGGGTGGGTCAGGGAGTCCGGAGGTCTGGTAGAGGCGAGACAGCCAAGGGTCTGCCTTCGCCACGGCGGGAGCGGCAGACAGGACGATCAACACCAGTCGGCTGATGTCTAAGTGGCACCTCCAGCACCTCCTCGGTGAGCCGGTCCGGGCCCGGGGAGCTGACTTTATCCGGGCACTTGGTGTTCTGCAAGGGAAACACGGGCAGATCAGCAGGCGCTGAGCCTGCCGCGAAACAGCCACAAGGTGGCGCTCCGGGAAAGCGATCGGCGGGGCGGCCAGTCCTGGTCCCGGGGGTTCCCCAGGTCTTCAAGGACGCCCAGGGCCTCGTGGGAGACTCTCGGGCAAGAGGCGCGGCCAGGCTCCGCCGTTTCCAGGCCCCTGACCCCACACAGCGACTCCTCAGCCTAAGCTCCACAGGGATTCTGTGATGCAGGCGGCAACCGTCCCTACGATAGCGGCCCCAAATTAACAAAAGTCACTTACCGTTCTCACCTCCTGGGGGGTGGGTAGAGTGAGGGAGTTGAGCCTTGTTGGCTGGCAACAATGGCTGTAGAAGAAAGCCCTGAGTGAGCGGGAGAACAGGTTAGTGTGGCACTCCCGTTAAGACCTCCCGCTAAACGTTTCCCGTTAAACATCTCCCTTGTGTTTCAAGGTGCTGACAGAAAAAAAATCTGATACACGGCCAGACATAGAGGTTGGGGTTAGATAGCAAAGCTCTACTTTTCAGCTGCTTATTTCTCTTTGGCTGTGGGGAACACCTGTTCCTTATTCAACCGAGTATCAAAGCCAATATTGTGGAGGAGTTTGAAAGTCCCTAAGCTCCAAGGGAGGAAATAAATGTCATACGAGCATGCTTTAATGACTGTCTGCAGGAAGCTAGGCCTCTGCAGATTAGCATTTCAAGTAAAAAATTTTTAAAAAAGATTCTCATGGGGCAGGGAGGGAGGCCCCTTACTATGGGCACTATTACCAGTATAGGCAGAAGATAATAGGGGGTGGGGAAAACAGGCTTACCTGCTGCGTAGGGTAAGTTGTATTGTGCTGGGAGCAATGAGTAGCCCAAGTGGTGGTGGTGGTGGTGTGTGGACATCAGACGCTGGGAGGGGGAGCTGCGAGGCCGGTCCACGCTCCTTTCACCCCCGCCTGCTCCCCCGACGCTGCTGCAGCTGCCACCACCCCCAACTACCCCACAGCCTCCCCGATCTCTCTCCTGAGAAGTTTTATCACTTATCTGGAAAGGAAAGCAGACAGGCAAAAAAAGCACGACGGTGAGATGCACACCCGGGCCCAACATTAGGCTTCCCTGAAAGTGCAGGACAAGAAGGGTCAAGGAGATGCCCCGATGGGGCTGATGGCAAGGTAGCCAAGCTGCACTGCCCACCTCCCCCCAGACCCCGGACGCGGCCTCACTGGCGTGTGGATAACAGCCAGCATCACTGTTCTCCCCTTACCGTGGGAGACTTGCTCTTGTAGTGACTGGCATGCTGCTGCAAGATGTCCAGGGCTTTGGACTCTGAGCTGGATTTACAACCAACACTGGGGCTGGCTCGGGCCTTGTCGGCATCTTCACCACCTGAGACCTTGCTGCCGTATGGGGAGAAAGAGTAGCTGGAAGGCAAGTAGGAACCTGGGGAAGGAGAAATCAGGCAGTCAAGAGGACTGGAGAGGCGGAAGAAACTGCTTTTGGGAGCTTGGGTCGGTGGGCACGAGCTTTCCTAGGCACAAGCTGAGGTATTTCCTACCATGATGTCTGCAGTTGGACTACTGGCTTGTCCTTTCCTTACTGAACTCTGCCTGAACAATTAGCTAAGGGATATTAGGAACATGGATGGCCCTGTATCAGGCAAACTGTTCCAGATCCATGATGGCTCTGTTTTTTCTTTTTTTTTTTTTTTGAGTTGATTATCACACCTGCATCCAGTTTGATTCTAAGAATGGTAAGTATCAGTACAGGTGATCATAATATTTAGTGTGAATGGTAATTGAAGCTTGAATCCCATACTTCTTTAATTTTACTAAGGAGTTTTCATAGAAATAAAATTCACTTACCTTTTTCATATTTTCCACCAATTTCATATATTTTAAATTTAGTTATGAGTAAATATTGACGTGCGTTTTGCTATACTAAGCATGTATTTTGGTTGCATATTAAAATAATCAATAAAAATCTCCTAACCATATTTTCATATTTCTTTTTTACAC